CACTGTGTTGCCCAGTCTGGTGTCAAACTCTGATTAATAAATTTTTCTTTGAGATGGAATCTTGCTATGTTGACCATGCTGATGTCAAACTCCTGGGCTCAAGCTATCCTCCTGCCTCATCTCTGGAGTAGCTGTTATTACAGGTGTGTGTGCCCAGCTAACAGCAGTTGTTGAGTAATCTTTTTTCATTAATTTGAAATGAATGAAATGAAAACCACCTTTATATGTACTAAATTCCCTGATGGATTAGGGCCTATTTTTATTTTTGTTTTTTTTTTTATTTTATTTATTTGTTTTTCGAGATGGAGTCTTGCTCTGTCGCCCAGGCTGGAGTGCAATTGTGCCATCTCACCTCATTGCAACCTCTGCCTCCTGGGTTCAAGCAATTCTCCTGCCTCAGCCTCACGAGTATCTGGCATTACAGGTGCCCACCACCATGCCCAGCTAATTTTGTATTTCAGGCCTGTTTTTAGAATCTGTTTTGTTCTGTTAATCTCTACAAATTGGTATGTTGGAACTAAACTGTTAAATATTACAGCTAAGTGTATTTTAATATCAGTGTAAATCTCCCCTTTTTTTGTGTTTTGAGACGGATTCTCGCTCTGTCGCCCAGGCTGGAGTGCAGTGGCGCGATCTCGGCTCACTGCAAGCTCCACCTCCTGGGTTGACGTCACTCTCCTGCCTCACTGCCTCAGCCTCCCTAGCAGCTGGGACTACAGGCACTCGCCACCACGCCCAGCTAATTTTTTTGTATTTTTAGTAGTTGCTGGGTTTCACCGTGTTAGCCAGGATGGTGTCGATCTCCTGACCTTGTGACCAGCCCGCCTTGGCCTCCCAAAGTGCTGGGATTACAGGCGTGAGCCACCACGCCCGGCCTACCATGTTATTTTTTAAGTTGATTTTTGTGTGTGCTTGTGTACGTTTGTGCATGTCTGTGTACGTTTGTGCATGTCTGTGTATTGCTATAAATGGCATGTGGTATTTTCTATTATGTATTTCATCTTATT